TCCCAGAGTTGTCTGTCCTAAATGTCCATTAGGACCCGCAAATGTAGCAACACGTTTCTGCAGAAACTTCTTAAACAAAATGCCTCTTCCTCAGAGAGGTGAACTCGACCTTTTTCAAATACAGGAATTAACTGAACTGGTAACTCCTTTGGACCGTTTTCCTCCACTAGATTAACTTCACTTGAATTAAGACGCTCACTACTAGACACTTTAATCACAGGAGAAAATATTGCAATTTTAACACCGTGTTTAACTGTCACATCCGCTCTCCCTAGATTGAATAATCTCAAGTACCCATCTAAGCTGTTTGCGCTTAACAGTGTTCTTGCCGCCAGTAATCCATGTCGGTGTAGAAAATTTGACAATACAAATGGTATTCCTTCTTTATTTTCTGAGTATGAAAATTCTGTTCGGATTACCACTTCATGTCCTGATGGCACGGAAACATCTTCTTTTGCTATAATCCAGTTTGTACTTCTAAAACATGTGTTATTGTATGGAACTTTAACAAGTAATCCTCCCTTCTCGTGATCCCAGTTACATCTAAATTTTGAATAAAAGTCTACTCCTACTAGATTTTGAGAAACTCTACCGACAAATACTCTTAAATCCGTCTCAAAGTCGTCAAAGTTGAAAGTCATGTACGCTGTTCCTATTACAATTAAATCTTGGCCACTCGCAGTCATAAAATTTGATAACTTTTGTCTCCTACCTGATATGTAGGCTTTGCGTTCACTGCATAAATATCTTTTCTTGGTGTTCTAGAATTCTTTGTGGATTGTTCCTCGCCTATCCGGATACATTCCTCTTGCATGGCTGGAGTACCTACTTCTTGAACTGTTTTCGGTCGCGTTCGCTTAACTGCCATTCTGAACTCTTCGTTTTCAGAACAATTGTCAAGAAATGTCTTCAGACTGTTTTCCTCGATGCAGGCTCGGTTACTAGGATAAGCTCTTCTATATAGATCTTCTACAGCTTGTCCGTAATCTCTGAATGTTTCATTTGCACGTTTTCGGCGCCATTTTGCTTCAGCAATGTAGTTATCCCATAAGGCTGTCTGTCCAAATCTCTCGTTTAATGCATCTGTCAAAAGCTTATAATTCCCCAAAGTATCGTCTGGCAGTCCGTACGCATAAGTCTCTGCCTGACCGCGTAAAGTGGTCAACAGCACACCTCTTTTCCTTTGCATAGTCCACTGGTTTAAAGTAGCAACATTCTCAAAATATCTATAGAACTCCGTCCAGGTAGCTGCTCCATCTCCGGAAAATGTTCGTTTAACTGGAATACTTACAGTGCTTCCAGCTTGATTAGTAATTCCTGGTGTGGCGACAAAATCACTTCTATCTCTCGGCGATATCCGTCTCCTGATCTTTCTTTAGATTTCCAAAATTTACACAAAACACTGATCAATAAGACAACTACGACCAAAAAAACAAATATAATGATCAACTCTCGCGTAGCCCACAATACTAAGTCTCCTGGAAAGAATCTATAGGTCACAAACGATAGAGATGTACAAAGTGAAATCAATCCGAACCAAAATCCGATTAGATATCTCCATCCTGCCGATTTCTCTACGTTCTCTTCCTGTGTAGCTATATCCGTTTCTGCTACTGGAGTATTTAGGTCGTCTCCGTAAATCGGACAAACGGGTGAATAGGCTTCATTGAATTCTGTCAATAAGTTTCGACGTAAAGCACTACGCGGGGGAGTTTGTGGAATATCCGTAGTTCCTCGAGGCGTAGTCATCTTAATTTTATTTTCCTCCAAAGGTTGCATATAAAGAAAACAGATGATTATAACGTGTCACTAAAACGGCACTTACAAAGATATCCAGCCTGGTAAAATTCTAAAATATATACACATCTAAATCCAAACGAATTCACAAAAAATTTATCGGTGTGACACAAATGTTTCCTTGAATGCCTTAATACGACAGCCGCAAAATGGACATTTGTAAAATTCACTTTTCCCTCCGTTTGCTGTTGCCATGCACTGACGATTCTCGGATTTCATGAACATAACAAAGCAGTTGGGACATTCCTTTCGTCCACTTAGGTCAATCTGCCCAATAAGAATAAAATTCCCATTTTCCGTAATGTCATAATAATTCACAAATCTTTGTTGTCTTTGCGTATCCAAAATTACGAATTAGTAAATCCCACAAGAATGAATTACCACTGTAAAAATTCCAAGCGTTAATCCAGTTTTCGTTTTAATCCATATCACCATTAACGAAAATTGTATCCCACCGCTGCCACCACTTGTAGCGTTATTATTTTCCGAGCATGTAAATCCTAAATAATTTAATATTCCATCCACAAACACTACTATATTCCTTTTCTCTTAAATGAAAACACGGCATCAAGTTCACAATTTATTAATGGCGATAAATCAAAAACATAGCATATAAACAAAACAGACGAGTGACTTGGTCAAAATTTTCCTAAATACTCCTGCGTTTCCACAATATTTCCCCTTTTATACTGAAAAACTTCTTCCTCCCATGATGCAATAATCTAACTCCTCTTTCCAAAATAACTCCTCACTGGGAATACTAATACAAAATCTAGGTCACTGTGCAGAGGAGTAAAAGAAATAAATAGGTTACTGGATTACATGTTAGCCCACATAATAAAATACTGCAGTTAACTTTAAATAATTAAACAGTTTATACAAAATAATATATAGACATAATATGAATAACTGTAAATCTGCTACACTATATATTTATACTCGTACATGTGCTGTGAACGTGACTACGTTCATGAAATGACCTTGTAGATATTGATAACGCCATAAACGCCAAATTTTAGCATTTTAAAAGTAAACTTTGAAATTATTTAGCAAACAATCTAGCGAGAAGACATATTGATTTTGTTATATTTATATTTTTGATTTAACCTCATCTTGACATTTTGAAATTCCTGAATAATTCGTCTACGTCTTTAAAAAGTTATCCAACTTTTTTAAAGGAAACTATTTTCACAAAATTGGCTTTAAAAAGGCATTTTCCCATAAATTTCAATGGTTAAAGCGTCAAAAAGGATTAAAAACTATACCGCGTTTACAGTATTATAACATTAAAACTACAGTGCTGCTATCCCACAAGTTGACATGGGATGGGATCGGATAGGATTCAGGATTGAGGATTCACGATAGAAACATATAGAAGTTAATCCAATCCTATCCTATCCTATCCTATCCTGTATCCTACAGCCAATCAGATTCGAGCAAAGGTTTATTCATATTTCAGAATAAATTACAAAAACGAAATACGATATAAAATGTTAACAAAAGAAATATTTATAAAATTTCAATAGAAAATAAAACATTCTTTTCTCTAAACACAGATTTACATTATAAATTTCGAGTAACACGGCGTACGATCTAACCGTGAACGATCACCGGAAGAATTTGGGAATGTAAACATCGAATAGCTATTCCAGTTTACGCCATTTTGATCTTAAAATAGTAACAACCGGAAAGCACACGGTAGCCATTACTGCAGGCGATTTTGTGGAAGGATATTGGATCCTATAGTTAAATCATGGTAAGTACTATTGATGGACATTGATGTTGATGACAGTGATGTGTAAGGTATTTTTCTGTTTGGATATAGTTTGTGCTTTGTCAAAAAGATGTTAAAACCTGTTCAATTATTTTAAATCAATGAAGAACAGGTAAAGTATGTATGCACGAGAAGGTCGCTCCGTTGGTATTTTCTTTGATTCCTTGGCATCATGAAGAAATATCACAGATGTAAACATTTTAAATGATTTTTTTAATGCTATTAATCTTTATTGAACTGTAAAATATTTTCTGTAGCATTGCATATTTTCCCACGTATTTTTTAAAGAATTGGAAGATTGGTCAACACAGAATGTTTCTTTAAATCGAATTGCCTGCCCTTGATATAGTCTATTTCTTTTTAGACTAATCACAAGAACATGTATTTTTTACATACATATGGATGTAAAGAAGACAATTAGACAATGAACTTCTGAATTAAAGTTATTATAGATATTTTTTTCTCTAATTTTAGGAGTTTAGAAATTACAGTGACACAGTAAGAAATTACAGAGTGATACAGTGACTGAAATTTCCATAGAAGGTAAATACATGTTTTGTCAAGAAAGCATTAACTGCTTTTATATACGTATCATATTTTTATTTCATTTTTTTATTTTCTTTCGTTCACTGTCTTCGTCTTTTATTTTTAATTCATTTTTCTTCATCTTTTATATTTAGTTTATTGTCTTTGTTTTGTGTGTGTGTCAATCTTCATTTTTTTTGTTTGTGTTTCATTTTGCACAGCATCTATGGTAAAAATTCAGTTAACAATCACTTTTGTGCACATAATCATGGTTCTCACATACTTAGATGTCCATGAAATCTACTTAAAGCATAAAAACCGACCAGACTATATGAAATGTTTACATCATGAAATATGCGAAAAACTAAAAGTCGAATTTACAAAGGTGAACCGAGTAAGTCTATTGTACAAAGTAACACGCATGAGAAGAGAAATTGATAGATTAAAGAAATTTACAAACAAAGACAGATTAAATTCTTACTTAAGCAATATATTCGAACTGCCGCTTTCTAAACAAGATTCAATAAAAAGTAATGGGAGTGGAGAGGAGACAGACAGCCAGCCAGAACTTTGGAAAAGAGGAGACAGACAGCCAGAAATTTGGAAAAGAAGAACAGAGAGGAATTCTTGAAAGTGAAGCAATGAATGAGAAATCAAAAATTATATCTGAACAGAATATTGTAATTGAGCACCTGAGGAGGGAGAATGCAGCTCTCAAAGACAAAATTAGAGGTTTTAATATTAGAAACACAAACAGAAAATTGAAAAAAAAAGATGAGAAAATAAAAAAAATTAGAAAATGTTATTAAAAAATGACAAAAGAAAATGTAAAAAAAAAATGACAAAAGTGTGCAATGCAATACTATAAAACAGTTATTGCTGACTTGCTCTATGTAAATAACCTTATGCTTTCCGTTAAATACCTGGCTGACCATTTTCAGTGACGGTATTGGGCTGGATTGCTCTATGTAAATATTTACCTTATGTTACCAGTACCATGTTTTTCCATTATGTAGAACTTGTGGTTCGTCGTCACCTTATATTATATTTTAAGATAGGTGACATTATTCATAGTAAAATGCATTATTTTACTACATTGGCATCGCCGGTAGGCAAATAAATTGTAGTGTATAGAGATCAGAGCTGAAGATAATTTACCACTTTTTGAGAAAAAGACTATAGCAGGTATGAAGTAAGAGTTATCTTTCATTATAAGACTTACTCCTTCAATAATGAAATTGAGTTACTGCCCTTTGGAGCCAACTTCCACTTGAGGTAGAGGTTATTAGAAGTAATTTCAATAACAATGGGAAGGACAACCAATGAAATTCTTTCTATTTATAACTATGTTCTGCACTTTAGGACCTATTGATGATCATTATATTACCAATGTTTTCTATTTAATTTTTAGGTGGAATAGCTACATCGAAGAGTCCAGGCATCGAAAGACCGTATTTCTTCAGTTTGTTTGGATGATTTAACCGATTCTTACTTGTGTAAAAGTGTAATTACATGTTTTTAAGTTAAATATGGTCTGTTTGTTTGGATAATTCCACAGGAACCGTCAACAGCGGACTTGAATAGATGATGAGCGAGATCATGTAAGTATACTTCACACTGTACACTGTACATGTGTGCATTTTTATACATATTTATCCCTTTAAACAATGTTCTAATGTCTTAAAATATAAACATTGTATTCTATTTAATATAAACAAAAATTGGGTGTGGAAAAAAGAAGTAGTGTAGACAGAAGGGGGGGTAATATTTACAAATACTCTGTCATATGATTCAATCACCTATCAATGAGCTCTAAGACTAAAACAATCATATGCATTATGCCTTAATCAGGTTGTTACTCTTATCATTTTCCTAATAAGGTCAGAAAATAGTGTTTTTTTTCATTTCTGTGTAATTAATAATAAATGAATGTAGAATCATCATGATCATTTCTAATGCTTCTGCTTAAATGTTTAATGAGCTCACTCAGCAGTGCACTTACATATTGTACATGTGTGTATGATGTATTGTGAGTTATGAAACATAAGTTAATCTTTTAATCATAATTACAGAAAATGGATTGCCTGTACTCCTGCGTCAACACAGTATAAAGGATTTCAACCTAAAAAGTATGTATGATTTTATTTTTATCATGTATTTTTACATGGTCATTAAAATACATAAACATCATTATCTGAGTTGACGTGACATGTCTGCAGTTTCTCAGAACAAGTGATTTTCTTCTTCTAAAAATATTGAGAGTAAAACTGAAAGAAATACTGTATAGCAGGTTAAAATCGCGGTCGGAAAAGATCGCGATTTGTTCAATTTTCAGTAAATCGCGGTCGTTTGAATTCGCGGAAAAGGAAAAACTAAAAATTTCTTAAACAGTACTTGCAAGCATTTTTCTGTAGTCATATATTGTGTGAACTGCTATTTCCCGTCTCTATAGTATATTACGAAAGTATGTAATCAAGTATATCACGCATATCAGACAGAAAAGTATATATATTGTGTCGATTTTGATCCCGATTGAATAATAACTGAACACCGGACTGATCCCGATTTGAAGTCAAAATAATGCTACGCATTATTTTTTTCATTTCCGGGTCCAAATCAGAAAATATATACCGTAGTAAAAATGTTGAACTTTTAATCATATAATTGGAATTAATTAATCGTCGTTACCCTGTTTACGAAGTAAATGCCTTGATTAAAGGTAATGACTGAGTGATACGCACGGTGAAATTAAACAAGCATGTTTTATTAAATAATTTCATCGCACTTCTACTAGATGGCAAAATTAATCGTTTGCTATAGAAATGAATTAAACAATTAATAAGCTTAAAAAGTAGCAACAACTGCGAGTTTGTAATTGATCCAGACCCTCGCATAATTAATAAAGACAGTCTTCATCTAATCACAGAAAATAATAAAATTTCAATTGATCTTTATAAAACTCTTTAAAGAATTATTCACTGTATGTTAAATTCGCGGAATTTCTTTATCAGCGAATATAGCGAAAATTAACTCCGCGAGTTAATTTCCTGCTGTACAGTATTAAATTTTTCTGGTCATCATGTTATTTTTACTTAGATTTTCATATTCAAATTTCAAGACCAAAAAAAGAAAACCAAGAAAAAAAAATAGATAAATACAAGCAGAAAATAGAGAAAAGTCACTAAAACAAATGTATTCATACTTGTTAGGAAGTTGACAAGATAAAATGAATTATAATGTAGAAGTAAATTATGTTAAATAAGATTTTTTTTAAATTTTATATGACTGAGGTTGCAGTATAAGATTTTATTTTTCATGATTTCAAAATGGATAACTTTTTGGAGAGAAAAAGGTGAAATTAAAACCAATTGTACATGAAATGTGAAAGATAATCACATTCAAAAATATTTTAAACATGTTAAAAGTGTATGAAATGTTTATGACAAAATGTACAATCAACATGCCTAAAATTTCATTTTAATTTTTTTTTTTTCAGGAAACCCTGCACATTTGCAGCTGTACAGAATGCAGTTCATGCCATATGCTGTTAGAGTAAATAATGAAAGATGTTCAAACCAGTGTCAAAGAGTCCTAAGTCTGAAATCATGGTGCTTTTATTAAGGAGACCAGTGTTTGTTTTCTGTGCGTTGTTGACATTTGTAGAACTTTTCGGTTTATGACCATCTCTCTGACAATAACTCTGACATTTGAATTTCAATTTGAGCGTTGGTTAAGAAAGCCAAATCATATGCATGTAAAACATTATACCAGTGTAATAAAAACATTGATAAACTTCAATTTAAACTTGGTTCATGTACATGTATCTGTTATCTTTGCATTGAAATTCATAAATGCTGTACATGGATACTTTTAATGACTGTCTCATGGTAATGGAATATTCAATTGTTAAACATTGTTGAGGAATCACCTTGAATAAAAATATTGTGAACTTGATAAAATATGTTTCCTCATTTAAACAATGAAAATTTTAAGATCAAATGTCAAGGTCAAATACAAAGTTTACTCAAAAATGTGTTATAAATGCTGTAAGTACTGTGAATTCTTATGCATGTTTTATAAGATCTAAGGAACATGTGTAGAGCATTTTAATATTTCTCAATCTGACACTGATTAACATACAAGATCAAATGCCAAGGTCAAATACAAACTTGCTTTACTCAAGAATGAGTTATACATGTAAATACTGTAAATTCTGAATTTCTCATGCATATTTTATAAGATCTTAGAAACATGTGTGACCTCACTACAAATATTCATGTCAATCTGTTAACCAATACAAATTTAGAAAATATATTCTATTAAAAATAAATTATTAGATTTTCACACATAAAAAAAAAATGGAAATTGAAATACATTTGTACGGTGCTGAGCTGACCATAAACTGAGGAGAAACTGAAGTTAAATGAAAAAATTAACATTTAGATTATCTTGAATTTAGCAACTATATATTTTGCATGTTTGAAAAAAAAATCACATACAATAGATGATGAACTGAAATTTTAAAAAAGAATAAATTATGAATCTAAATAAAAAAATCATACAATTAATATTGATATTATAAGACAATTTCACATTTAAAATGTTTAATATGTGAAAGTCAAGATATTCTAGATCTACATTTTGACTTGTCTGTTTGGTTTATGGTCTAGTCATATTTTCTTTTTCAGAATTGCATACAGAAAAACCTGTTACACAGGCACAGTTAGACAATACATGTACATGCATGTTATTTTCATGGTGCTCAGTTTAGGAAAAAATAAAATTTTACATGAAACATATACTTAAAAATTATTACCGTAAAGGTCTATGATTTTTAAAAATAATTAAATATTACACGTCGGACGCAAGTCGCGATCCCGGGTCTCCTGATCATTGTAAGTAGGAAAATTAAAACACTAAGTATATTTTTCTTTAATTCTTCTGGTCTGCCAATTTCTTAACATATGTTTGCAAAATCAGTACTTGTCCACGTGTAATTACGATCTGTTTGTTAACATTAATTTTTTACATGGTAATGATAATCGTAAATTTAATTTGTGCGGTCAGTCGGGAATTATGGAATGCCGATCTCGATTATTTTTCTCCATTAAAATATATAACATTTAAATGAATAAAATAAATATATCTGAGTTTTTTCCTGGTATTTCCTTTTTTTTCGTTTTGTCAAATTAATTCCTAAATATTAAAAAACTGAGAGTTGCAGGATAGGATAGGATAGGATTAGACTGAAATCACAGGATAGGATTATGGATGCAGGATTCACGATAGGATAGGATAGAATTGTCAACTTCTAGGATAGCAGCACTGTACTTATGCAAATTTAATAATTATTGCAGATGATACGATTTAAATTTTAAGGAACATTTTATCAAATTTTCAGGATATGTTTTCTCGTAAGAATTTTTATGCATTAAACCAGGGACCTACCTTAAGTTACTTGTACTGTGCATGCCATCAGTAAGTTTTCATAGACCATGCAGTTAAAAAAGCTAAATATGCTTTGATTGGTAGGATGTCGAATTTCGTTTGTCTGTTCAAGTAATAATTCAATAATTATTGTGTATTGTCAATTATTATTTATTTCTCTGTAAAAGGATAATTAATTTCTTTGTAATTAAATAAAATTGATGTCGCCTGTTGTAAGAAACGTTTTTCACTATTTAAATATAACTAAGACTTATAAATGAGTCGATTTTTTTATGTTAACAGACAGACGGACGGACGGACATACCGATTACAGAATACCTTTCCACTTTTCAAGCGGGAGAATGGGGTATAACAAGATATAAAAAGATATAAAAAAGGTATTAAAAAGAAATGTGGCACGGAAGGCCCTCCATACATGTTGATCAAACTTTTTGAGAGTTTTTTATCAGCTGTGCAAAATGCATTCTACCAGGTAGGATTAAAATGATGTACTTAATTATTAAGTACTAAGTTATTATCCTTTTTTTCTGATTTACAAATGTTTCACTTCAATGTAGGTGAAAAATTCCGTAAACAAAGAAGAATAATTGATATCGAAAGAAACCTGTCGTATACTGCATTTAAACCGCAACGAATGCATACCCAATTAAAATGCATAGGTTAGTAGCAACTGAAACCGAAACTACATAATTTAAGCGTAAATTCCAGCCAAAGACGGATTTTTTGTAGGTAAACATACTTTCTCTTTGTATGATGTATACATACATGTATGTACTTCTAACCAGTCTAGTGAATGTTCAAAACTTATATATCTTTTAAGCTTTCCTTGAATATGTAAGATATGAGATAATTTATTTCAATACTGTACAGTGTGATAATCTAACAACTACATCGGAAATTTTATTATAGACAAAATAGAAGGTAAGCATGCACATGGTTAACCGTAAGAATTGTTCTACATTATGACCGGTTCACAACATCATCGTAAATATTTAACTTTTTTCGTTTGATACCTTTAAAGCCCACCAGTAGCCACTCCCACATGCAACCTTTCTCTCTAACTTTCTTCTTTCTTTATTCTTTCATTCTTTCTCTCTTAATGTTGACTGGACCATGAAATTATGCTAGATAAACCTAGCTATTATCAACCGTTTTATTTCTGTTTAAAACTTTTACCTATATTTACTAAAGTAGCTATATGGTCCATCTCACCAAAGAACAGGCTTACGTAAAAATTTACCGATAGCATCTGAATTTTTTTTTTACTACTCATATTTAGAAAATTACAAGTTTCATTTGTGAATAATTCTGATTATTTCATTAAAAATCAATAATTGTTTATGGCCCATTAATTATATATTATTTACACGCATGCGTAGCTTTCATAAACAAAACAGCATGGTAAGAGAAGGAATTCCAGTAGACCCGATAGATTGACAAAGTCGACAAAAAAAAAATAGAGCTTGAAAAGCAACTTTCCGAATTAAAAAAAATAGTTGGGAGATTAATACAATCAATTCACTGGATGAAGACACGGGGTCTCGGCGACCACTCAGGGAGGGGGGGAGGGGGGGATCGCGAAGGCTCTACTATACAGATTAGTTGGTACAAGCTATCATTTTTCGTATCCCCAGTCTTTCAAAGAAATAAAATTGTATGCTCAGCATAAAAATGCACCTATGACATATTTTAAATTATTACTTTTGAACTGCAAATTGTAATTGGACCGCAGAAAAATATTTTGTTTGAAATTTTGCCGCGATAATGTATGATTTTTCTTTCCAGGACCCCAATACACAAAACGTCAACATTTGTTCTTAATTAATACTGTTTAGTTCGTCTAAATGCAGACTAAAAACGTTAACGATTATATAAATCTATCGAAGAGTTCTGATATGTTGATTTTGAGAGTTGCTTTTAAATGTACCACATATTCCATTATATATTGTTAACCATTCAGTGTACGCACGTGTCATTTTAAAATACACGGGGTACATGTACAAGTCAATAGAAATAAGTTGTACGACCCTTGATTTTCCGGCAGTTTCTAATTACATTAATTTTGTATGAGGTGCAGAACCCAAAATATTGAAATTTAAGAAAATGTTCTTGTATACTATTCAATTGTTAATTTCATGGCCCCCTTGTCAGGGGTTCTGGTGTTAGGATGGGGCTCTATTAATTATATAGAGATATGCATTAATTATTTTTAAAAATTTTCTTCTCTGCTCCTGGGTATTAAACTAATTAAAAATGGACTATGTACATAGTTGTGATGAGGAAAAATGCCTTTTTCCAGTTTGTGAATTTCAGGGCTCCTGCAGTCAAAAGTTTTTGTTTTAGCCTGTTAGGGCGGTACTCAAATGATTATATAGTGAAACAGTGAATTCTTTCAAATTTTTTTTTTTTTTGGATATTAGGCCAATGATCTAAATATACATGAATCTATTTATGGTGAAGAAAGGTGCCTCTTTCAAAATGATTAATTTCAGGACCCCTGGATCAAAGGTACCGGGAAGGGGGGGGGGGGTAGGGGGACTTAGTCAGAAAATAAATCAATGCTTTGAAATCTGCTCTTTGATATAAATCAACCATTCATGATGAATTAAAATTTATGATAAAATTTCCAAAATTTTTAAATATGTGGCCCTATGTTTAGTTTTTCGTGTGGGGTTGGGTGCATAACTGTTGGTTATAAAGTGGAAATACATTCATTCTCTTTGTTACCCTACCTCAGGGTATTAAGTAACCATAGTACAATGTAAGCATGCTAAATGTATAATCATGATAAACAATGGTGCCTCTTTGAAAATTGTGAATTTTATGGCTTTTGGTTAAAAAAGAAACATGCACGAAATTCAATTGTTAGAAAGTTGTTACATGATACCCAGGTGACCTACTTAGATTTACTGTAAAAATCTATTCAATATTTAAGGGTTCATGTGGGTTGTTTGTTAAAGATAGAATTGGAAAAAGAACTTTGAACGGAAAAATTAATTCAATACTAAATCAGCAACATATTTTTAATATACTGAAAATACACGACAGGTTATTTGGTCGACTGACATGATATGGATTGTTATGAATTCCTCTTAATGATCATGAAATAAAAAAGTAGCTTTAAAACACAATACTTTACTTGGCACGTTTTGTAATTTCTACCGAGCTTTTTATTAAACTAGTAAACTAATCGTTCACAGAGCAATTAGAGGTCTTTCTACCTTCTTTGAAATTTACACTTTTAAGTTGTTTTATATGTAAAAGTATCAAGAAATGGCTTGAAAAATAGAAAAAAATAAAATTATTTTCAATGACCTTGACCTTTGACCTTGATAAATTTTTCAAGATGAAAGGTCAAGGGTTACAATGCCTCTAGGACTTACACTTTTAAAGCTATAATGTTAAAGGATAGGTGATACAAACAATTTTTTGTCAAAAAAAATTGAAAATAACAACTTGAGTCATGTTTTAATGACTAAAATGAATAAGTGTAACCGCGCAGTTTTTTAATTTTTATTCAAATGCTCACAAAAATGGGATTTGAAGAGAAAAATATTTGTATAGATTAATAAGGATTGTTTCAGAGAGGTAGAATTCTGAACATCATAGAAGGTTTACAATTTCTTTATATTCTAGAAATTTATTTTTAACATCATTTTCAATTTAATATGATTGATTGTATACTGTTTAACGTCCCTCTCCAGAATATTTCACTGATATGAGAGACGTCACCATTGCCGGTGAAGGGCTGCAAATTTTGGCCTATGCTCGGCATTTGAGCAGGGAGGGATATTTATCGTGCCACACCTGCTGTGACACGGGGCTCGGTTTATACGGTCTCATCCGAAGGACCGCCCCATTCAGTCGCCTTTTACGACAAGAAAGGGGGTTCTGAGGACTTATTCTAACCCGGATCCCCTGAAATAAGACGAGAAAATATAATCCAATCCAAGCTAAATCAAAAATCAAATCTAATATAAACCAATCCAAGCATATATTTTTTGTTTGTATCATATGTCTTTAATAGTAAGTGCAAAAGCGTTAAAACGCAATAACTTATATAAGGGGTCAGCAGATCCCTAGGCACTGAAGATAATAGTTGTACCTAAAGATTCTTAAAGACATTAATTAAAGTTTGTTATCTCTGCTGTTTATGGTTTTGAGGGAGTAGTGATAACAAGGTTTTTCGCACACGAGGCAATAACTTTTAAAAGGGTCAATCTAAGGGAACAAGAATGTAATCTTTCAAAAAGTTTTAAGAGTACATATTTTTGATGCAGAGACAAAATGTTTATGCTAATCGTATTTGAAATAACATTGACCTTTGACCTTTACATAAATTTCAAGGTCAAAGGTCAATAAATGATATGTAGATGGCCTCATGTCTCTACGACTTCTCGTTTTCTAAATTTTTAACTATTCGTAAACTTCAAAAACTTTCAGGGGCAAAAACTCATCAAACAGGTTAGCGAATGCTTTCGAAAGATCAATCTCAATAGTACTCTGTGAGTCGAAGATATTAGTGAATGTTTTGCGCTACGGTTAAGGTTTTCAGAGGAGTAGCAATAACAACGTTGTTTTCGTACAGGGGGCAAGAGCTCCGAAAGGGGTCATAGGTCATACTCGTTGGTTAGTTTTTCGAAATAATTTTTTTTAATATCCAGTATCATGAAGTAAAAAGTTTTTTTTTATAAGTCGGTTCAAAAGGCCATAACGGAACAAATAATAATAAACATTTGAAGAGGTATTTCCACGGAAAGTGGAAAGACCTAATTAGGCAAATCATGCACAAAATTCCTTCACGCAATATGCATGTAAAATGGCAGAGGATTTAATAATATGAACTGCATTGTATATTTGTCTACACTACATTGTACAAGGTTTATATTTCTCTGCATCAAATATGTAAGTAAGAAAAGTATCGTCTATTTAATTTTCAAACATCACACAATATGACGTTATTTTGACGTTACCGAAATTGACACTAACACCATGCATGCGCAAAGTCATTGTCATATTAGGGAAAACATCGGAAAATATACGAGTATATATTAGAAAATGGATATAAAGAATCTTTCTCTGTATGCATGTAAGAAATAGACATGCACCTCAGACAAAAGTCACATGCCACAGTAGATTATCATATCTCAAGTTTGACTTCGACTTTGTAATATAATTACAATTTATTAAAAAAAACTCGTATGCTAAAAACACAAATGACACATTTTATCAAAATATTCATATTGCTCTCTTTGTAATTAAATGTACATTTCAATTTCTATCTTCCCTCCTAGGCCTTCACAAACAAACACCGCTTTTGGACGGTAAGATAAATGTGCTATCACATTGATATGCCAGCACCTTCTTGTTGTTTAATATTTAAGTAAAAACTTACTCGTATTAAACAAAATGTTATGCAATCATCACAGATATCGTAGATTTAAGTCAAATAACTCAGATACAAGTAATAAATCTCAATTAATCTTGGCATTATGTTTCCGTTGTATTATAAAAAAGGGGGTGAAAGATAATTCTTTCGTAAATGAATTTCTTTTTTATTATAGCCTTTGAAATCCAATTCCTTTGGCCATGAAGAAGAGGAAAAGAATGAGCTGCTTTTCTGCTAATATATTCATTTCTTTGTTGATTTTATTTGCGCAGGTACGGAAATTTTTTAAACAACAGAGTCAGACAATATTTTCTGTCGTTTTCATATTCCTACATAGCTGCAGAACTGTAGCTCTCCGAAAAATATATATTGATAGACCGGAGAGCTACAGTGCTATCCATTGAAAAAACTGTATATTTATTGTGCACAAAAAAGTGCGTAGTTTCTGAAATAATTCTTCAAACTTCTTACCTCAATTGCAAAAAAAACTTTTTTTTTTATATTTTTATATAAACTACCTTCTGCTTTTAAACACGGGTTAATTTGAGCATAAAATCAATGGGATGAAATGAGTGCCATGAAAAAGTCGGGGGAGAGAGAGAGAGAGAACAATGTGATCAAGGTTTATTGAGCTGCAACCTTATCCTTAGCGTTAAGTCGCCCAACTGGCGCATCAGGAGAACAAGGATTTACGTAGGGATGCATTGAAAGATACATAATTTTTTTTCTCACAAAAACAACAAAACCATAATTGGTAATCAACTTTAAAGCAACATAAAAGGTACCTTAAATTTAAACTTGTGCACATTTTGACAATTGGGAGAATGGCTCATTAGAGTGGACCATAACAAAGGAATATAGAGGCTTTATCAATAATATTTTTTTCTTATAAACAACAGAGGCATTGTGTGTCATAATAACTCAAAGGCATCTTTAGGAGGTGTAGGTTTAAGTTTGTTCAAATACCCCTCCCTCCCCTGAACCCAATTTTATATTTAAACTTTTCAAAAGTGAACTTATATTGTGCTTTTACCTAAACAGGTGAGCGTTGTGGCCCCCGTGCCTCTTGTTCTACATGTATAATACAAACACGGACAGTAGAATAATTTTAGCCATGATTTAGTTCTTTTGCATTTAGAGCTTAAACTCGCAACATCAATGGCGAGAAAAAGATCTAGTTCTCCACCCCAAAGTACCGATTTGAAAGAGATTTAAGATTTGACTAAATAAGAAATGATTAATTGATTGTATACTGTTTAACGTCCCTCTCGAGAAATTTTCACTCATATGGAGAAGTTATTATAATTAAAAACATGACTGTATGTATATGTTTAATTTGACATTTACAAATGGCTCTGATATTGTTCAAAACGTCATGCGAGCATTGTATTGATCATTAAGAGGAAAGTACTATGATCTTAAGGTGGTCATTTGTTTTAATTTCTTAAACAAACCATATCAATTTTCAAACCATTATTTCGTTATTTAAGCCCGAAGTATCAAAATTGGTAAACGTTTTTTTTTCTATTTTCAGTACAGTCCAATCATTATAGTTTATTTTATGGTTCCCAAACCAAGTTGTTTTTTTTCCTCACCAAATCTAATTAACGTACAGCTACGCACTGTCATTTTTACGGAAAAAGGAACAAATATAGATAATTGAGTAAACATAACCAAACATATATTTAAATTGTTGGATTAATAAAATTATCAATCGTCTAAAGCTTATCTTTGGTACAATATCATAACTCTCTTTAAATTTCGATAGAATGAAAGTGTGAGTTCTAAAAGCTGTTTGGCTAGTATGCCAACATTACAGCTTGTTGAAGAGTGCCCCAAAACAAAAGAGGAATGGAATAAAAGGTCAGACAAAAAACGATGTGACATGTTAGCGGGGACATCTCAGTGTTCATCCTTTGCTTATCACTGTCTACTAAATCAGAATGGAAATGAAACAGTGGAGGTCTGTGCACCAACATGGTTTTTATCAGGTAACCTGTGTTAGAATTTTCTATATTTAGATAAGTATAAATAGGAAGAGGAAAATCTTAAGCCTGGGATTTGTTTCTTGATTGAAATTGCTAAAAATATTTGGATTGACTTATTTTTAATCTTGATTTAATTCTTTCGTTTCAGGATTCTGCGCAATTTATAATACTGATGAGTTTCGAGTAATAGATAACTTTAGCTTCGACTGCAATAACAATACAAAAATAAAGAAAGGGGATAGATGCCCTTCCAGATACATCTCAACAGAGACATACAAATGTAAAGCTCTTTAGTTCTTCAATTTCCCCCTAAAAACATATCAACAAATAAGTGTTTAAACCTTTTATGAATTTATACTTTTTTTAGACCAGATTTGTTACAGAAAAAGAGAAGTAAAAGATCTGGAATCTGACAGAATTCACCAGTCAAATATGTAAGTACACTTATTGATAAGAAATAGCACTTTTCGAACATATTAACTTAACATGACCCTATGGCGATTGATACATCACGTACTCTTTCAATTGTTACAGTTAAGTATCAACGCAAAAAAATTAAACGTACATTACGAAAAAACATTTGTATAGTATGCCAGGGCATCAACGATAGTGGGAAAAATGGGATAATTTGCATAACGGGAAAAGCATACTATTTTGGCCTCCTTAACGTCGGACAAAAAGACAAGTATACGCACCAGATTTGCATGCATATCAGGCCTTTATAGCTCGTACTATAAAAAGTGAAGTGTCCAAGTTGCACTAATACGCTTCCGTACTCCTGACCTACCGACCTGTCTAATATACATTCCTGTAGAATAATTAAGATATCAACTCTGACAATTTTCAAAAAAATTATCACACAGGAAAAAAATTAGAAATGGAAATATTGGGATTTTAATTCCATGAATGTATTGAATTGCTTAGCTCCTGTGTCTGTATGCCTGACGTGTGTATAGGGCAGGTAATTGATGTTCATCAGCGTATTTCTCAATGATTTTTTTTTCTTTTGTTATCGACAGGGAAGAGGGAAGTAGCCCATTTGTCTTGACAACAGTGTTTATTGTTCTTTTCATCTTGGCACTCATTGCGTCAATTTTCCTATGTGTATTGTTACATCGAGTCGGCTGTGACAAAATATGGAAGAACGGTAAGAGTTTCAAACTTTCCTTTAAAAAGTGAAGATAACAATTATTATGCTCAAAAATCCTGAAAAACAATACAAAGAGTGTGAATTATGAGCAGAGAAAACACGAAACTCTAAAAAAGAGGCGTAATGAGGGAAATCTGCTATACGAAATGTTAATACGATTAAAAATGAAATTTAAGCATTTTAAATTAGTCAAAATCAGACAGAATAATTTTAATGATCAATTGCATGTACGTAGAGTATTCGCATGTAATGGTGTGCATCCGTTGTCTGCGTAAAATTAATCAACCCTGCAAATCTCGTGAAGTTTTGTCAGATTAGATCAGCACTCAGTGATAAAAAAAAACTTTGTAAATTATTTTTTTTTTTGGTGAGCTCTCTACAACGAATATGTTTTGGTATCTTTTACAAATCAAACTCTGATTTACCTGACCAGTTCTTGATATTTTTTTCTCGGTATTCCATATTTGATAATGTGAAAAAATCAAAACTGCGCGAGAGTATTTAGTCAAGGAACAAGTTTAATTCAAAACCATACAAATGAGTCTTTTTTATGCCTCTACATGAAATTTATCTCATCTAAGATCAGTTACAAGTAAAGTATTACATTCAGACATCACTGAGTGAAATTCTGAATGAAGTTTTTCATACTAGTTGTTAGGCCATTATTCACTGTAGGAAAGCCGATGACCATTACATATTTTACGTCATCAAAACATGTCGGCCGATCTGGGTTGGGAAAAAATTCACCTCACCCCCTCCCCAAACAAAAAATTGACAAGCCATGCTAAAAATTTTCCAAACTCAAAAACCCTGTTTCTTGGAAGGAAGAGGTGTTTTGACTATATTGTAACTAACTTGGGAGAGAAGGAGGGATCGATTTAATTTTCAATGATCTTTTTCAATAGACAATTGCAAAGAAAGGGTTATGTTTGGAAAAGTTTGGAGTGGTGGGAGGGTGTGTGAGAGGTTGGGCTCCTTTCACTTTTGCCACTTTTTCGCGGTAAAAGGGGTGTTATTGAACATGAATTGTTTTCATACATATTTCATGATTATTAGATCACATGAGAGAACTCAGGTGACTTATTGCTTTCTGTTTTCGACTGACGTCGTGCGTCGTTAGTCGTATGTTAAAATTTGAACATTTTTAGCATCTTTTCATTGCAACCGCTCAACCAATTTCAACCAAGTGTGACATAAAGCATTAATGGGTCAAGGGGAACAAAATTTGTGAATTTCATGGTCCCTGCCCCCGTGGGGCCTTGGGGATGGGGCCAAAACCACTAAAATTAATGCAATCTTAAATAATGTTCTTCTCTACTCCTGGCAGTCAAAGCAGTCAAACTGTTGGCATGATAGAATCAGCATTGAGTCTTCTACCGCGTAATTGTGAATTTCATAGCCCCAGTTAGGGTCTGGGGTTTTATAGTGCTGGGGAGGGGCTTTATATATTATATAGTAAAAATGCATGATATATTTGAATTTTTCTTTGCTTTGTGGTATCTTATAAACTAACAAAGTACATAATCATGATGAGCAAGAATGTCTCTTCTTACATTTTGAATTTCATGGCCTCAGGGTTGAGGGTTCTGGTGTTATATGTAGAGCGGGGTTCTATTGATCATATAGTGAAAATGCATTTAAATTCTTTAAAAATCTTTTCCTCTGCTCCCGAGTATTAAACCAATGAACTTTGTACATATTTATGATGAGCAAGAATATTTCTTCTATATTTTGTGAATTTCATGGCCCAATGATTGCAGGCTCTGGTGTTAAAGCGGGGCTTTATTGATCATACAGTGAAATGCATAAATTCTTTAAAAGTCTTCTTCTCTGCTCCTGGGTATTGAATAAACTAACCAAGTACATAGTTAGGTTGAGTACTTTTGTAAGACTGCTTCTTCCAAAATTGTGAATTTTATTGCCCCAGGGTCAAGGTTCTGGTGTTAGGGTGGGGCTCTATTGATCATATATAGTGAAAATGCACACATTCTTTAAAATTTTTTTTCAGTAGTTTGAAAGTTGTTACATGATGCTGAAATGGCCTATAAGGGCCGTGGTCCTCTTGTGTATTAGGCATAAGATTGCGGTCATCTGTAAAATTGTATTACGGTCATCATATACATGTACTTGCTAGGGTATGTTTGTTACGGCTATCATACTTTAAAATTTCAAATGCTTTTTTCTTTCATTTTGTTTGTTTGAGTAAAAAAAACTAAACTTGCGTCGAGATAACATCCATGATCGCATAACCTTTATCTTAAATTGCTTAGCTTTATTGAATTATGTTTGTAATCATTGTCGAAAATTTTCATCTTATCGGCTTGGCCGATATATCGTTACGACCGTAATATCTATTACGGTCATCGGCTTTCCCAAGGTCATTATTTACAAACTGAATTGTCAACGGATTTTCCGTTATTTTCCGATCATGATAAGAAGCTCACGGTGGTAATGACCGGTTGGCATGTGATGTTGACTCCAACATGACACCTGATCCCACCTTTGATGTTTTAGAAGTCTTTCTTTAAAAAAGTGATTTAATCTTTCTTATCCTGGCCTGACATGTTTTATATGGTATCTCATGGAAACATTCCTGTACTACAGGAAAATTGTTATTTCTTATATGACTTAGTGTTTTTCACTATCCCCACCATTTGGTATTTCTATCTCTTATTCGCTATTCGTGATCAGGAGCTTGCTCAGAGAATAATCAAATTTTACTTCGTTTCAATATTTTTTCACTTATAACTTGATATGGGATTGACAAAATAATTTTGTTTAAAAAACATATTCCGTAACTTTTATTGTGGTTCTAGTAACCTTGTTAGCAAAGATATTACGTATCATGTTGATGTATCTTGGCTAATGTGTTTCATACCAATTCAATAGCCGAATTGATCACTTAAAATTCCATCTACCTGGTTCATTCATTGTGCTTTCAAAAGGTGTGCATTGCAAATAAGGGGTGCTCACTTCCCCAAGGCAACTTTCTAAACTGATGATTTTCCAAATTTTAAGGGGTTAGTGTTTAAGACCTCTTCTGATATTTTTTCTGTTTATAGATCTTTTTTTAGATTGGTTATTATTCGTTATGATACCCTCAATCATTATTCGTTATGATACCCTCAAAATGACTCGGATATATATAAATTAAAAATTGTTATAGATTTTAAATAGAATTTTGAAGATGATACTTGTACCATTATCTGGTAGCTTGCACAAATGCATAGCAATGCTGAATAATGTATTAAATTTTTTTCGAGGAACGTTGCTACGGTTGCTACAGTAGAAATTTATTCAATCACAGTTAATTTCTTGAGAAGAAAATTTCATTTTTAGGAATTTACATTCATTGCCTGTGTAGATTGCAATGACCAAATGATATCAAGAAAACAGATTGGTGTTTGGGTCTGAGTAAACGCATTGTGAAGAAAAGAATTCAAAGTAAATAGATCTTAATTGTTATAATCTTTAGTTTTAACATATATGTATCTTCTGCTGGATTCCTTGATATATATATTTCCGTTATCCACACTGAGGTTAAACTGGTTCATTTCTGTCAATATCGAACACCGATCAATGCAAATGAGATCAAATAATTTTCGCCTATTGTGTGACGTAAGTGAAAAAATACATCTAACACAATATATCACTCTGTGGTCAAATATCAAGTTTTTTTATGATCGCTCGGAAAAAAGGGAATGTAAGACTCTTCAAGTATATATTTATATAACATTTTTGAATAAGTTTTCTTATTACATCACAAATGTAATAAGTTTCGCTATAAACCCTGAAAAATGCCGAGTCACACCGGAAACAGCTATGTCACGCCGGAAACAGATATGTCATCCCCGACTGAAGCAGTTATGTCAACCTTTCGATCACCTTCACGTGTTTTAACGTTACGCAATTTAGTTCGGGTTCGAGATTTCATGACGTCGGTTGCTAAGCAAAAGTAAACAACACAGAGTATTTCTTAACGTCAAGGAGGCAAATTTGGATTATTTGTGTAAATTTTGTCGATTTTGAATAATTTCAAATTTTCTTTTAATTTTAAAATGTCGTATAACATATAGTCATATACCACATGGCTTCTCGGGCGACTATACCAGAATATTTGCCCCTCGGTGACAGGAAAGCCCTGGAGTGTTATGTCACCCTCTGCCTTCGGCATCGGGTGACATAACACTCCAGGGCTTTCCTGTCACCTCGGGGCAAATATTCTGGTATGTCACCCGAGAAGCCATGTGATATATGTATAATATAGAAACATAGTTTTGATGGTATTATACGTATATCACATGGCTTCAAGGGTGACATACCAGAATATTTGCCCCTCGGTGACAGGAAAGCCCTGGAGTGTTATGTCACCTGATGTGGAAGGCAGAGGGTGACATAACACTCCAGGGCTTTCCTGTCACCGAGGGGCAAATATTCTGGTATAGTCACCCGAGAAGCCATGTGGTATATGTTATATGACATTTTTAAAATTAAAAGAAAATTTAAAATCATTCAAAAGCGTTAAAATTTACACAAATAATCCAAAAATGCCTTCTTGACGTTAAGAAATACGTTGTGTTGTTTGCCTTTGCCTAGCAATCGACGTCATAAAATCTCGAACCCGAACTAAAATGCGTAGCGTAAAAGCACGTAAACGTGATCGAAAGGATGACAAAACTGTTTCTGGCGGGGATGACATAACTGTTTCCGGCGTGACATAACTGTTTCCGGTGTGACTCAGCATTTTTTAGGGTTTATAGCGAAACTTATTACATTTGTGATATAATAAGAAAACGTATTAAAAACGTTATATAACAATATGTAGTTTTGACCTTAGTATTAATCAATATTGCAGAACAGACATATAGAAACAACACAAATGTATCCACGCAGGAAAATCCGTTTCTTGGAAATAATCAAGGTAATGGTATTTACTTTATTTTTTTTTTAAAGTTTACTTTAAAGTTTCAATCAATGTTTCATGATTAAAATATTAAGATTAAAGGACACATTTGTTAGGACAGGACCAAAGGTCTCTTTATACTTTATTTCAGTTTGGTAATTACAATATCTATTTAGAAATAAGTTGTAAGTAAGAATGTCTTTTAATGTATTTTTTTTTACATTTTGTCTACATGTACAGCTTAACGCCTAGACAGTTCCTTGCAATATAGACGGTAAAATACTCAACTTTGTCTGTCTAATAACACAATAGGGTCATTATATATATATTCTATTTTCAATGTTTGTCACTGGCCATAAGTATCATTTTGATTCAGTGTAATGTTTTAATGTGAAAGTCACCTTGCAATGAGAATATGAGATACATGTAGGTACATGGATTTTAATTATTTTTTGCATGTAGACTAATTAAAGTAAGTGTTTAAACATGACAAGTTGACAACATCAAAAAAATTTTTTTTTTAGTGCTCTTATTTTTGGTAAATGCATAATTTTAAGTGCAAAAAGGTCAACAATAAGGGTAAAAAAAGTTTTTAAGCTGTTTTATATGTAAGAGATAATCAAAAGCTGGATGTGTTGATGAATATTATTTATAGCATAGACTCTTATCTTTTAATTAATCAATAAATAAGACTCCAATTTATCTTTTCTTTAGAAAATTATATGGTCCAAATTTGAGTTTAGCAAATGACTTTTTGAATTCAGTATCCAATTTTCATTACGTTATAAAACCCAATACATTACATGGACAGAATTTTTTTCTGATGTTATTATGAATACAAAGTAAAAACTTTTAAGTCACACATTAAAATCAGTGGGAACAGGTATATTGAAAGAAATGAAAGGAGTCAAATTTACCCATTTTTTTTAAAATAATTTTCCCTAATGAAACCGATCCCGACCGGTTTTTTATAAAGAAGAAAATACTACGATTGTAAAGTTGAATTTGGCTCTTTTGTTGTGATATGATTAAAAAATTACTTGATTTATTTTTTTACATGTCTCATAGGTGGCAGGTGTCTTTAGTTTGATAAATTTATTAATTTTGCTTTATTTTCGATCGGGATCGGTTTTATTTCAATCGGGATCGGTTTTTACCGTAAATTTAGAAATATTTCCTAAGTTTGGCTCTTCATTATTTATCAGGAAAATATGCGTGTCTTTTATTTCTTTTCAGTCAATCAACTCTTTTGTGATGAGTGTATCCATAAATTAAAATGTATAATATATTTAAATTACTGATGTCTTTTACATACATGAAGATTACATGTAAAACATCTGTTTAATTTCATGATACTCGGTATTTAAAGAAAAATTTATTTGTACATGCATTATGAAACAACTGAGAGCAGACAGCTTAATTTCTAGCTGCATTATTAATCTTATTCCCAAGAAATCTTTTTATATTTTCTCAGGAACTAAAGAGTTAAATTCTATCACTGGCGAAATTTAACTTGCCTAAATACAAAAAATATTTTATGTGTACAGTCTCGGCTTTATCCAAATTTTTTTTTACCTGCCACCTGTAAACCTTTCCCCCGACATTTTCCTCTTCAACGAAATTTAAATTTATATAAATAAGAAAACAAGTTCTTTCATATAAAGTATCATCATATTTAAGAGCTGATCGAGTCCATAAATCGCTTGGAAAAAGCGGGGGGGGGGGGGCATCATTATGTTTAAAAACTGTACACTGGTTTGAAAACATTTTGACCAACATAGTCACATGTTTTAACTCCATATTCAATGTAAGTGTGTGATTATCTCAATGGCTAAATAGATAAATGAATACAGTGTAAATGAATGAATGAATGAATGAATGAATGAATAAATGAATAAATAAATAAATAAATAAATTAATTAATAAAATAAAATAAAAAGAAAACGAATTGTTTCACTAAACAATCTTCCGTTACTGGGGAGTTCAGCAGTAATTTACCACAATAAATATATTTTGAATTCATAACTTATTTTTCAGGTTTTTTTTTCATTTTTAAACGTACCGCAGATTGTTTATTTTGATTTGACTGCATAGATAAATATATTTAAGTTTTTACAATTCATGAAGTAAACATCTTAACTTCATTGAATTAAAAGATGCGTAAATCTAAAATATTCATCATTGATCCCTGGATAATCAGAAGAAAATAAAATCGCTTCATCCCAATTTTATAAGAAATGTTCATTATAAAAAATGCATTTTTACGCATTCCTACTAAATCAGTTTTTTTTTTTTTTTTTTTTTTTTTTTAAATAGCTCTCAGACATGTATAGAATTACTTATCAAAACAGACGTTTTAATACATCTAGCTGAGACGCTGCCCGTGTATAATTTCTTTTTCCATACACTTTTACGCAAAGCATTTACAAACTTCTCTGGAAAACTTGTAACTATTTCATAATGACGCAATACTAGTCAGGTATATGACGTCACTGATACATCAATGGAAACGTGGATTCAACCTGAATAATAGAGCCACTTTTGGAAATTTCACTAGCATTCCGATAAAAAGGTGTTTAGCAGATTTACCGATGCCACGGGAGATAACTCTTGCATCACAAAAGTTCATACAAACGTCTATATATTTTGCCAGAAAACTACTATCAAAAGTGTTTTTCCCACTGATTTTATTTTCTAAAGAAAAAAATTGAAATATTTCTAGATTTAGTTGAGTGTGAAGTATAGTCCCGTTGAAAATGTATTGGAAATTACAGTTCTTTGTCTCTGACCTACATTCAATGGTTTATATAGGGGACTTCAAAAACACAAAACAAAAGGAAATTTTACTAAATAAGCAATTTTCAAACAAATCTTCAATTACATTATTCCTTTTGGACTACATTGATATTGTTTTTCATAAAATATCAAATATTCCTCACATTCGATGTGCCGCCTAGCTATTTATACAATGCTGCCTGGTTTTTCAGTGGACTGCCTCTAAATGGCTGACTCTGTCCATGAGAATATACTTGAACCATATGCTGTTTACATGAAAATGATAGATCATGGGTACAGTAACTCTTCGGTACAGTAAAAATTTTGTTTTGGTTTACCTGGGTGAGACCATATTAAAACAAGAGACTCAAATGTTTAGGACCACTGAAGTAATTTCATTGAAAATGCAGGCTTAAATGAAAAGTACTCCGTATTTAGGGAATCGAGTTCACTGTACAAAGTATTTGAAGTAATTTTATGAGATTGATAGGGAGAATGGGGGCTCAGCTTTCTTGAACTTATAACCATACCAGGAGCTTAAAGCAATGCAGGGATTATCATGCAGATAATATACATGTAGTGCATGCTAATTTTGGAATAGCAGAAAATGAAGATATTAACATGGATTCGAACGGAACAACAACAGAAAAATAAAATGCGGTACTGAAAGTAAATTAGACCATTTCATTTTTTTTTTTTTTTGGTTTAGCATCCGCCTGCATCGATCTTGATTTTTGACACGCCAGTGCAGAATATCATATAAATCAGCATTACAAAAATAAATTAATTTGAGAAAAACTTTGGTGTTTTGTTATTTTTTACATTTGTTGAATCTGTCAAATTAAGTATCGATATTTTTTAAATGTATACGGTTCGGTTTGAAGTTTATTCCTTTTTATTTTTTAATTCTTCATTATAAGAATTTAAATCATCATTGTACATATAATATCCATTTTCTCTGCTATTTGCTAAAAAAATCATAGTTTTTATTCCTTTTGGTCAGTTACAGTCCAGTTGTATAGAATGTCAGAAGTGAAAAAGTTTGTCATTACGATTTATACAAGACTTTCCACAAATATTGGACTGTCAAAGGTTTATTTAAGACAGCAAGACTAAAGGAATGACACCACAGGGAGTTTTTTTTCATCGGAAACGACTGTATAAACTACCTATACTATATATGCATCACATAACTGTGGCGTGCAACAATAAAAAAAGAAAGAACCTATCATGGTTAACTACATGTATTTTGCACTTTGTCCAAAATTATAAGCTTTTTTTTTTTATTTTGGTATAAAACTACGGGATATGTTAAGAATTTTTTTTCTAATTTAATTCTTATCACTAATATTGCAAAATGAGATCCATATGTGAACAAGTCAAAAACTCTGTATAACTGCTTATTTTTGCTTATCAAATGGTTCAATAAAGACATCTATAAATAGCTATGTGAATGAATGCCGTAATATTTACCAAAAGACTTTAATAATTACCTGTGATAAGACTTTTTCAAATTCATATCTCACTTCTTGACCTATCATTTTGATCTATCTGGAATGGAGCAACAAAACAGGTGTTAATATCTAAATTTTTACCAACAACAGGAATCACACACCAGATTCAATCACAAGAAGATGGTATCGGCGACGAAAATCATCCCCTTCTTGAAGGTAAATAATTTTTTTAATTTTACTTTAGTCTTAGTATCATGTTGTAAATTTAGAATTTACTAGAGGGAGGTAAATGCCAAATTTACAACATGATATAAGCGTAAATACCACAGAACATACCATTAGCTTTGTGCTAGGACAACTGCTATAAAGTTTGTTTTATTAAAATCCGTTTTGACAGGACACTTTATTAAAAGGCTTTTATTGACTATACCGGGTAGAATTCTTCTCTAACTGTGCCGTATTGAAACGAAAAGGGGAGGTTATGTTCAGAAACAGATGATGTCTCCTCGGCAAAAATCCCCAGTGATGCCATATACAGTATTTGTGACATATTAATTAAGCACATAGGTCATTCTGTCCCTGAAAATATCTATACAAAATCTATCAACTCAATACCTTCTTTTGAAAAAAGTGAAATCTTCCTTTTACACTAGCACATCAACTTTTTATGACGCAATATTTGCTTAGAAACAAAATAGTCAATAGTCTTGTATTTTTGTACAAAATAACCACCAGTGTTGTCATTTGGGTGTTTTAAAGATGTATATATTTTGATCTGAAGAAAACTGTAACTATTCCTGCAATAAACGAATTGCTTTAAATCGAAAGCACAATCTTGGGATTTTGCCAAAATAAAATATTGATCGCTTCAATTAAACAATTTCATAATTTTCTCAAAAAAAAAACCCAAATCATTTTGGAACGAACGTACAGTTTGAAAGTCCCAAAGTATGCATTCATTATTGCTAAATGCAAAAAGGCTAACGGATTGCGCTGTTTGTGACGTGCTAACGCCTTGCTTGTCGAGAGGTTTAAAAGCTACGTCACATTGTCACCAAATCAAAGGAAGTAGACAAGATCGCGTTTCTCCCACGCTAAAGTCGGTCAGCTGCAACATACAGCTTGTTTGTTGGGTAAAAAAGGTGGACTAAACAGTCCCGATGTCGTTTTCTTGAATATTACCAGCATAGTTAAATGTCTTTAAAACTTGAATTAATCAATGAAAGCATTTTATGATTTTTTTTTCAGTCCATTACGAATATTTAAATTGGTCGATTATTACATTCTATCGCAAACTTTATCTTCTTCATATTTGCGTACATGTATAAAATTCAAGTATTGCATAAGACTTTGATAATTGCATTTATTGGTAACGCGTATCAATCCAAGCAATTTTGATATTGTTGCAACTTAGTACAAAAAACTGCTCAAAAAATAGAGCCCCCTCTCCAGGCATTCGAGAGAAATGGTGAAGAGGGAAGGCCGGGGGAGACGTTCAAATTTTATCGATTGAAGTTCAATTTAGTTATATTTTAATTAGTTTTGTATGTTCAGTATAGTTAATACCGAACGGCAGAATGTAAAGCGTAAATCTATCTACACATGCAGTGCACTTATTGCAAATATTCGAAATAAATTGGCCGTTCTCGAAAAAAAAAAAATCGATCCTCCACCAGCAAGAAAATAAATAATTTGTCCTTGGCTGGTGCTTCTTTCCCTTCCCCCCACCCAATTTTTTTTTGTTTTTATTCATATAATTATTATTTCTCTATTCGATTTGTTAAATTATTCTTTTTATTTTTATTTGTTTTACTCTATGATATCTCTTTTTTTTCTCTCTCTCTCTCTGAATTCATTCTAAATCTCTCTCTCTCTGAATTCATTCTAATTATGTAACAATTGATAATCTACTCATCATACATTTTTTTCAATGTTTACATCAATTACATGTACTTGTAATAGTACCTTGACCTATTGAGAGAACGATCCTAGGCATCTAAGTCTGCTGTTCAATCCAATTCAATGAATAAAATATATTTTGAACTAACCCCACCTGAAATAGAGTTTACCTTTTTTCTTTGGCTCGTCAAACTTTTTTTCGGATAAAAAAAAAGAAGAAGTTATCCGTCCCTGACTTACATGATGATATGAAAGAAATAATCTGAAACAGAAAATTCACCAGTCCCTCTCCTGGGGGTCCCTTTACCAACTCAGTGTGTGTACATTCATTTTCCCAATGAAGCTACTGTAACAAAAAACAATCGTCCGTCCGTCCGTCTGTTACGCTTTGGTGTATCCATCTCTTATCCGCAACTCCTCTCATACCACTCACGAATGAAATGAAATAAATGAAATATATAATGTAAATGAAATAGGAATACATAATATAATGAAATTTGATGCAACTTTCACAGAATCTTTTTTACATAATGCCATTGTGCACCTCCTATTTTACTATTTGATCCGACACATATTTTGGGGCTCCCGGCCACATGAAAACATGGACTTTCTCACCAGTTATAACCAAATGGGAGGCGGGGGTATCATTTAGTGAGCTTATCGCTCACAGTACCTCTAGTTTCCCTTTCGCTTGCGTTAATACAATATGAATATGAATGCTTTTGGAAATATGTAATGGCTTTATTTTAATAAAGATTACGCTATTGAGTGGAAAACCCGTCAAATGTGTTGGTCGCCCGCGTTGGGCAGTGGTTAGAGCGTCTGCTTTTGAGTCGCGAAGTAAGGAGCTGATCCTTACGTCGCGGTTTCGAATCCCACTGTTGGACGTGATGACCAGTCCTTCGGATGAGACCGAGGTCTCATGTTGCAGGAGGTGCCGGTATGAAAAAGATTTCTCCCTGTTCCATGACCTTGAGTGCCAAGTATAGGTCAAAATCTTTACCTATGCACCGGTAAATTGTGGTGTCTCTATATGAGTGAAAAAATCTCGAGAGTGGCGTTAAACAGAAAACGATCAATCAATCAAATGTGTCGTAATTTGATCTTCTTTTGAAATATTTTCTTCCCGAGTAACACTTTGACTTTTCCCAAGCACATTTCCGGATTACAACAATACATGTACGATGATTTGATTTATATGGCAAAATGTTTAAAAGATTTGATATAGAGTTATGTGTCGAAGTGATTTATATGAAACACTAAAAAAAAGATCGTCATATAATAAACAGATTAATAAAATATCACTTTAATATGTTAATATAGAGCAAAGGTAAGCTTCTATATAAAAATAACAAATTAAGAAAAATGACTTTGCAATGCAATATAATAATTTAAACGCATTTTAAAGCTTTGGAAGCCTTCAAATAGCTGCGTCATTTCAATCTTAATGCTATCTTTTTATAAAGTGGAGATGATGCAAGAGGAGCGAAAATAACAAGGGGGCGAATATTTCCCGGTATACAGTATTGCGAATTCGATATACGGATATAAGGAATTACGGATATAGCGAATCAAATTCACAGGTCCCAAGGACTTAGCTATAACCGAGTTTTACTGTACATCCTATACCTTAAGAAAGTCATTCTTATATCTGTTAAACGAAAAGAAAAGACTTACTTCTCGACGTTTTGTGAGTAATTAAGCATGTGAATATGTAAACAGCTGTACACTTCCTTCAATGTCTTGTGGATATATTGGAAGAAACGTATTCAAAACAGGAAAATGGCTCAATTGGACATTATTGACATTTTACATTGATTAGCGCGGATTGGATAGTATTACACAATTGCAAGCTTAGATTAAAATTTATTTTTTATTTTAATTTAAGGACAGAAATGTTCATTTATTAAAGAATTATCTAAGTACAAACTGCCTTGTTTCCTTGCTTTTCTTCAGAATGTCTCAACCAATGTATTTATAATGAATTGATTGATTGTATACTGTTTAACGTCCCGCTATAGAATATTTCACTGAAATGGAGACGTCACCATTGCCGGTGAAGGGCTGCAAATTTAGGCCTATGCTCGGCACTTACGGTCTTTGAGCAGGGAGGGATCTTTAGCGTGCGACACCTGCTGTGACACGGGACCTCGGTTTATTCGGTCTCTTTTAGTCGCCTTTTACGACAAGCAAGGGGTACTAACCCTGATCCCCACGGGGCTATTTATAATAGAAAAATTGGAATAAGTGTCTTTGTATACTGAAACGCAAAAAAAACGCAATTAGCAGTGATCTACAAATATTTGAATTTTTAAAATATGAAACCTGAGTGACTCAGGTGACCTATTGCTACCCGTTTTCGCCCGTCGTCGTCCGTCATGCGTCGTGTGTTGTGTGTTTTGAGCTTCTCTGAAACCACTGAACCAATTTCAAACAAATTTTGATACAGCATCTATGGGTGAGGTGGAAAAATGTGAAATGTGCAAGGCTTCCCAACACAACAATTGCAGCTTATTTTCTACGATGCAATTGGTTCATCAATATAGAAATCTGAGCAAAAGAAATATTCTTTGCTATTTTTAAATTGCAGTTTTTCAGTTGATAAGGTAGAATTTTTTGTAATCTAACGCATTGTAGAAACACTTGAACTTCCGGTCCACGGACTGTCATGAATGCAAATGATACATTAGAGCCCGCTGATGCGTAATGTAAAGTATTTGTGCATCAGTAACTCTCAGTCACCTTTATTTTGAGACTTCTCAGTTAAGGCAATGGAGATACGAACTTATGTCATTTTCAGGCAGCATTAGCATTGTTACAATGTACGAGAAACAAAGGAAAATTTATTTTTCTAAAAATATTTCTACATTACTCATAATGAACAGTTACAAACCTTTAAAACTTACTGATATTGCCCAATGTTTTGTGAAACTTGCATTTTTTTTTTATTTCTGTTAAACAGACTCATACTTAGCTTCCAGAAATAGTAAGAAAATCGTTCAACCGTAAAATTACCGATAATTAGAAAATTGAAGATACAAAATACGATATACAAAAGATAGAAATTTGAAATACAAAATTTTATACTATATATCACTATTTTCCCCTAAAATGTTATGTTGCGTGTATTTTGCGTTTCAGTATATATATAATATCAATAGGTCTTTCCACGCGTTAGAAGTATAATGAACTTATTATTAACAGAATTTTTTCAAGAGGTCTTTCTACAGAAAGATAGAAGGGCCTAAAACGTAATAACTAGTCGATGAATTAGAGGTTTTCTCTCTTCTTTAATTTTCTTTTTAATTCTAATATTTTAACCTCATTTTTTTAAATCAAAAGAATCCATGTATGGTTTAAAAGTTAAGGAAATGAAATGACCTTGAACGTTAAAGGCCAATATTCACTGTGTAATTGGTTGCATGCTTCTATGACACTTAGTTTTACAATTGTACGGATCAATAGAAAGTGCAAAGACTTTAAAGGGCGAAAATAATATAAGGGTTTTTAGATCCTTTCGTACTTAATAAATTGAAATTGTATTTAAAAACTCAGAAGACATTATTGAAGAATAAGTGTTTCTATGAATTACTGTTTGCAAGGAGATTAGCAACGCAAGGGTTCTTTTGCACAAAAATTGTTAAACGGGTTAATTTTAAGGGACAGGAATAAAATCTTTAAATAAGTTTTAGGAGTACATATTAAAGATGCAAAGATATATTGTATAAGTTGAAAGACAAAGATCACAAAAAAGTAAAGTATAAGGCAAAATGAAAAAAAGACATTTGAGAGTAGTATAATGTATAAGTTCTTACAAATAACACTCCCCTTGCCCTAACAATTTTATCATCGAACATATTTAATTGATAAGATATAACCTCCAGAAAATGAATAGAAACATGGAAATTTATCAAAGGTCAATCAATCTGATTAAAATCAGCTGTTCTTATACGCTACCGCTTACGTAAGCGGTAGCGTATCAGAACAGCTGATTTTAATCAGATTGAAGGTCAATGTGCTAGATATCTCTCCTTTGTTAAAAGTGCATACCGGTTAATTAACAGCTTGTCGTTTAATTTGGATTATTTTCTTATTTTCTCACTTAATAATATGTAAATCAATTTTCATAGACATAATACATAGTTTAGTCTTTATTCTGTAGAAAACAAGACTGCAGCAAAAAATCAAAGTAAAGAACCAATGGGAAATGTTGAAGTGTCTCCAGAAACAGCCTTAAATGGTAAATTCCCTGTTTTTGTCTGCAGGTGATCTAAATATAAAATAGAACTACAAACAATTGCATTCCTTTAAATACATTGTACATAGTTTTACTATTATTGTTGTAAATTGCATCATTTAGGATACAAGTTTCTTATATCATTATGATTACAAAATTTACTTGCAATCAACTAAAAATAAGTATGCATAATTGTTACATCCGATGAGGGGAAAAAAGATAGTGATCAGTGCGTTTATCATTTGATACCAGTATAAGGATACGGTCCTTACATCGCGGTTTGGAATTTGGAAAATGTCTCAACCCGTGTATTGATAATGGAAAAATTGGAATAAGTATCTTTGTTGGGAAAAATATTGATTTTAAAATCATACATTCATATTTCCAGAAAAAAGAACAAAAACAAACAAGAAGGCAAAAAATGATCACGAGGAAGCAAAAAAGGAACGAGAAAAGGAACGTAGGGGACTTGCAGACAAACAGCGTGTCCAACAAGGCCGGGAGATATTTGGTACCATTTGTTTGTTGATTCTGAAATAAACTCCTTTATCTTAATTACAGATGCCTTTCCAAGCCCAAGGAAGGCTTAGGAGGGTTAATGGTGAAGGGGCATCCATATTATTCTGAGATAAAATTTTAAATGTAGTTTTACTATTTTCCTTTTGGGGGTTGTGCCTCACCCTTTGCACATTTTATTATTGTATGATACAGTGATGATGTTAAATTCCGTCTGAATACGTGTCTCCCTAACTTAAGAGGATAGATAACATGATCTGTGCATATTAAGAGGTGCTTGAAGAGATATGATTTGAGTTGATTGATTTTTTAAATGGATGTAGATAAAAAAAAGATTAGGGGTTTTGAGAAACATAAGCAGGGGACGCAACGCAGTTTGTAAAAATGGAGAGAAAAACCCCCCAGAAAAATCATGTTTGGATTTTAAAATTTCTTACCGAAATGATATTGAAATATTTAAATTAACATATATGTGAATTAAATTCAATTTCAAAGGTTAAATAAAAGAAGACTACTTGGTATTAAAATATTATTTCATATCAGTTGGACTAAATGTTATAAACAATATCTGAAGAAAAAAAGGTTTGGCAAGGTTTATGTCTTATCATTGTTCATCTACACGTCAATTTCAAACACGATAGAATTTGTAAGTTTTGCCCAACAAATCATAATTTATGTATTCTTTAAGGTCTCACCATAACTTTCATGAAACATTTTTGAGGTCTATTTTGCAGTTCCCTAAAATTTAATGTCGATCTAAGGTGTTGTCGGATTTTTATTACGTTGCTATTGAATTTTTGATTACAAGGGGGTACTTATTTATTCTAAGCATTTGTAAAAGTGAGAGTTGTAAAAACCTCCACGAATTAAGTTTGATTGTGACTTTTGGGTCAAGGAGTCAAAAGTAAATTCATTAAACAAGACTCTTTAAACTTTCAGTTGTTGTAATCTTGAATTCAGAACTTTAAGCTGACTCAAGAAAAATATACTGAATATTTCTTTTTTTTTCTTGAAAAGAGACAAGGTCAAAGGTAAAAAAAAATCTAGGTCTAAGCCATTTAAATATATATCATATATTGACAATTAATATACTTTTCCAATGACCTTGATCGTTGATTTTGACTTAAATTTCAAGGTCAACATTTAAGAAAGCACATGTACTTAGTTAGAATAAGACATTGGTAATGGTTCTGTACCACTAAGATTTACCATTTCGGAGGAGTGGCGATAACAAGGTTTAGAGTAAAAGGGGTTATAACTTTAAATATTAATGATTTAAAAGATAAATTTAGAAAAAATTAAATGACCTTGACCTTTACCAAACATTAAAGGTCAATGGGCATTGTGCAATTGGTCGCATGCTTCTACGGGACTTGTTTCGAAAGGTAATGGGATTGATAGGTAGTACAACCTTAAGACTTTAGAACTAGGACAATGAATCATATGGGGTGTCATTAGATTCTTTCTTACTGAATAGATTGAATTTTCAGCTAAGTGAAGATTTGTGTCTCTGTGGTTTACGGTTTCCAAGGGGAAGCAATACAAGTTTTGTTTTGCACAGGAGGCAATAACTGTTAGAGGGGTTAATCTTTGAAATAGGTTGAAGAGTACACATTTAAAATGCAAAGATATATTGTATAATTATGTTGAAAGGCAAATTATCTGTAGAAAAGTAACGTATTAAGCAAAACCAATAAAAAATAATTTGAGAGGTGTTTAAAGTCGTGAGTTATTAATTACAATTAACTCTGCGCTCGCCCTAACGGTTTTACCGTAGAACACATCAAATTAATAAAATTTAATCTCCAGACAATGAATCAAGCACGGAAAATTATCACACTTTTCCATGTTCTATATTTCTCTTCATTTGTTAAAAATGCAAACCAGTGGAGAAACAGCTCGTCGGAAGTCTTATTTAAATTGGTCTTGCATAAACAAAATAAAAAGAAGAAAGAAAACCATTATTTTTAATTTTCTTTAATCATTGATAGCATTCTATAAATTAGATGAAATACTTTATTTTTCACTTATGTACGTAATTGAATTTTCATACTCATGATTCATAAACAAGTCTTAAAATCCTGTAGAAAAAAATGAAGCCGCTAGAAATGCTGAAGTTTTTCCTGGACAATCAAAAGAAACAACCTTAAATGGTAAGTACATGTACCTTTTTCTTGTTTACAAATAATCTTAATTTGAAGTCAAACTACAAAGTATTGTATTCCTGTACATACATGTACACCTTACTATTATTTTTTGTTAATTGCATTTTTTAAAATACACTTTCTTTGATTAATACAAAATTTATAGAAATTAAAAAATCTGTTAAAACAACGGCCCGGGTTTGTCTATCTAATTTTACCAACACGCTGAGGCCTAGCGTTAAATTCGTACTACTTGCATTCATCTTGATTGAATATGCTTCATTGTTTGCTTGACTGAATGAATTCACGTTTGTAATAGAGAAAATAAAAAAAATAAGAAACTGTACCAATTTTAAAGAAAGAAGAACGAATTTACAAGAATAAAGCAACATAGAAATAACGACACATTGAAGAATGATAAAAGTGAATGCAATAAAAATGAATTTGAAAACAGTAAAGCGACATATAGTTACAAAAATAGCATAAAATAAAGAGGTTGGCAGAATAGGAATAAAAGCAAGGTACATGTACATAGAATTTTAGCGGTAATTCCCTTTCATATATTTGATACATCGGATGATGGGAAATAAGATAGTGCGTTTATTAGTAGATATAAGTAAAAGCTTCATAAGTATAATGCCACAAAAAGTATAACTTTGCATCCCGCACCGTAGTGATGTCTCCATATGAGTGAAAGATTATCGAGAGGGACGTTAATCAACGAACAAAAATTAATGGAAACAGGACAGCATTAATAATCTAAGCCAATCGTAATTTTTATGTATTATTTATAGTATTTATATAATGATAATTTTAGCAACAGTTACTGTCTTATTTCTATATCTTTGGTTAATCACTGCTGTGCGAAAAAAAACCACGACCGAAGAAAATACTACATAATAAAATAGTATGTTTATGTATAGGATAGTTAGGAAAGAATCAAATGATCAAATTTTTACCTTATTTCCTATCAATATTTAATTTACAGGTAGGAGAATCGAGGGAGAGAAAGCTGCAGACAGCAATATTCTTGGCTGTGTGGGGCAGACAGTAGAGAACAATTCAAGAGGTTAAAAATTCACAAATTGATATGTAATATGTGTTTATTTCTTGAAAATATATTTTGAAAATGTACTTTTATTTCAAACTTGTTTATTCGGATCTTATTTCTTTTAATTATCTAAATAATAAAAAAAGTAATGTTTAACATACGTTTAATATAGAGCTTAGTGCGCATATGTAAGTATATAATTATATGTAAATAAGTAATTATATAATGTGTCTTTAAATCAGATTGGTATATAGTGTCTTCCATTAATGGAGAACACATATAGATTTTATTCTTTCATTATGCAGAAAAGTCAAACAATTGGATTGAAAAACTTGCTATGATTTACGTATACATAAACAGGACGGACTTGTTTTTAAAGTAAAATGCAAGAAAGTAAAGCAAAAACCACTGGTCTCAGCTACACTATATTTATCAAGCAGAAAAAGACTGCATCGTCCAATCTTTTCCAAGAACCTTATTCCGATTATATTTTGTTTTCTTCTTTATTTTTAGTAATTATGGCCTTTGGTCTTCAGCGGAAGAAATCCTCGTTATTCTTAGGTTTCTTTTATTTAAATAAATGAGGGAAGTTCTTTTAATTGTGGAGTATTGTGTTTAACTGTGATTTTATTGAATGTAAAGCTATAATTACTTGAATTTACAAATAAGAAAGAATTTGAAGGGACTTTCAACTCTGCCTATCCTTAATAAATAGAAAGCAGTCGACTCCATATGTTATAGATATCGTGTTTTAGTATACCAGCTACGAAAAGTTAATTTAGTTTAACAGGTAGATATTTGTGCATTTCTAAAGTCCGTTCATTATATTACACCTTAAGGGTGCTATTTATATACATTATTGCAAGTTTCGTCGCAATATAAATTACACTACACTTGCTCTATTGCAGGATTTGCACACGGTGCTGAGGAAAAACGACAAAATGTATCCTCATCTGAAGATTTCAACAAACCGGATGAAGGTTTGTTGACACCATATATGCTAAACATATTAATTTTAGAAAAAAAAAATCATTTTTTATCATTTATAATCAAACAAACTACCTTGAAAATTCATTTAATAAATATAACTTTTAAATACTATGGTTATAAAGAAGGATGTGAAATAAATCGAAAAATGATCACTTCAAATTAAAATTCTGGCAATTTACTCTGTTGCGAGATGATAACAAATTTATTTTTCAAACAAATCTATTTCATGGATTATCTCAAATTTACTTAAAATAGTTATTTCATATTTTCGATAGAGAATCTATTGTCGCCTGAGGACAAAAAAATGAACAGAAAGACCTAAACATTTACTCTGAATAAGACCCCATATTTATTACATGTAACTGTCTGGAGATTAAAAGATGTTTATTCATTTTTTTTTAAATATTTTTTTTATTCTAGAAGAAGAAGAAGCAGAAAAAGAAGCGGAAAAAGAAGAAAAGAAGCTAGCAATTACAAACTCTACATCCGGGAATAATCAACCGCACCCAAGCCCACATAGAGAAGGTGAACTGCTTTCATATTATTTTGTGGTTTTAATATGTGAAAAGACACAGTTTTTGTATCCCTCTTTACGGATACTATAGAAAATTTTAATATTGTAGTTTAATACTGTAAATCGTTTTAACTCCACTGTGTTAACATTTCACGATATCTCAAAAAGTACCAATCGTTAATGATAGTTTTAATTTCACGATGCAAGAAACTAATTCAAGCATTTAAACGTTTCTCAAAACTAATAATGACATTAACGATGGATTTAATACCGCGGAAAATGATAAATCGCGAACATAGCGAAATTAAAACCATCGTGATTATTTGCCAATCTACAGTATATAAATTATAATAAATCTGGAGCAGACGCTCTTACCACTGCGCAATGTGTTGACAATTCATCCATTACAAATTATAAGTCAATTTAAACCGAGAGTCCAGCAGTCTCATTGCTGTTCGAATGTACGACATGAGTGTTTTGTTTCGAAGAAGTAACAAAAAGTGTGGTAGATGTATATTTTATTAGATAATTAATAAATGATACCAACCCGACATAGATGAATGAAGTGAAATCTCGCTCTTGCTGAATGTAATGCTGGGCAAGGCACGCAAATGATAAATACAATCAATAAGTCAGCACGAATTTTTTAACAGTCTTGTTTAAATTTCATTTGTAGCTCACCTGAACCGAAGGCTAAAGTGAGCTTTTCTGATCAAAATTTGTCCAATGTCTGTCGTCGTTGCAGTCGTTGTTGTGGGCGTGATTGTCGTCGTAAATTTTTCACATTTTTATCTTCTTCTCAAGATTCACTGGGAAAAATTTAATCTGTTTTTATAAACCGCTTCGCAGTTTGTCAAGCCTGAACTGCCCCTAGTTATGATAGATCGTAGAACATAAGTTCAAATAAGCCTCATTCCTGAATTATGTAGAAAGGTCACACAATCGAATCGAAAAACTTGCTGTGATTTACGTATATTAATAAAACGGACTTCTTAATAGGTACAATTTAAGAAATTGTGTTTAACTGTAATTTTATTGAATGTAAAGCTATTACTTATATATACTTACAAGAAAGAACTTGAAGGGACTTTCAACTCCGCCTATCCTTGATAAATAGAAATTAGTCGACTCCATATGTTATAGATATCGTGTTATAGTATGTCAGCTACAAAACGTAAATTTAGTTTAACAGTTAATATTTGTGCATTTCTATAATCCACTCATTATTAACATTAAGGTTGCTATTGACATACATTGTTGTAAGTATCATCCTAATATAAATGAAAGTACACTTGCTCTATTACAGGATTTGCATACGGTAATGAGGAAAAGCGGTACAATGTACCCACAAAACAAGATTTCAACAAACCGGAGGAAGGTTTGTTGACACATTATATACTAAACATATTAATTTCAGACAAAATTGCATTTTTTCTTATTTATAATCAAACAAAACACCTTTAAAATACATTTAATAAATAAAACTTTTTAGCTCACCTGAGCTAAAGGCTCAAGTGAGCTTTTCTAATAACAATTTGTCCGTTGTTTGTCGTCGTTGGCGGCGTTGTCGTCGTCGTTGACGGCGTCATTGTCGTCGTTGTTGTAAACTTTTCACATTTTCGACTTCTTCTCAAGAACTGCTGGGCCAATTTCAACCAAACATGCCACAAAGATTCTTTGGATAAAGGGGATTCAAGCTCGTTCAAATGAAGGGTCATGCCCTCTCTCAAGGGCAGATAATTGGGAATTAATGAAAATTTGGTGGAATCTTTTAAAAATCTTCTTCTCAAGAACCACAACGCCAGGAAAGAGGAAATTTATAACTTTTTAAATCTTTTTTCTCAAGAATATTAAAGTTAAAATTAATCATATTTATATGGAAGCATCCTCAGGTAGCGTAGATTCAAATTTGTGCATTTCTACATTCCAATCATTATAGTACACCTTAAGGGTGCTATTTACATACATTGTTGTAAGTATCATCGCAATATAAATGAAACTACACTTGCTCTATTACAGGATTTGCAACAGATATTGAGGAAAGGCGGGACAATGTACCCAAAAAAGAAGATTTCAACAAACCGGAGGAAGGTGTGTTGACACCTTATATAGTATTACTAAACATATTAATTTCAGACAAAATATCATTTTTCATTATTCATAATCAAACAAACCACCTTGAAAACACATTTAATAAATATAACTTTTTAGCTCATCTGAGCCAAAGGCTCAAGTGAGCTTTTCCAATCACAATTTGTCCGTTGTCTGTCGTCGTTGGCGGCGTTGTCGTCGTCGTTGTCGTTGTTGTTGTAAACTTTTCACATTTTTGACTTCTTCTCAAGAACTGCTGGGCCAATTTCAACTAAACTTGCCACAAAGATTCCTTGGATAAAGGGGATTCAAGTTCGTTCAAATGAAGGGCCATGCCTTCATTCAAGGGGAGATAATTGGGAATTTAAAAAAAAATTGGTGGTATCTTTAACAAATCTTCTTCTCAAGAACCACTGCGCCAGGAAAGAGGAAATTTATGGGGAAACATCCCCAGGAAGTGTAGATTCAAATTTCTTCAAATCATGACAACCAGGGGTAGGGGGGGGGCACAATGGCCGACCAAAGTTTTACATAGAAATGTATAGGAAAATTCTTTAAAAATCTTCTTCTCAAGAATAGCCAAGCCATGATTAATCATATTTATATGGAAGCATCCTTAGGTAGTATAGATTCAAATTTGTTTAAATCATGACCTCCGGGGGTAGTGCGGAGCCCAATGGCCGACCAATGTTTTACATAGAAATATATAGGACAATTCTTTGAAAATCTTCTTCTCAAGAAAAGCAAAACCAGGACGCTCTTACCACAGCGCAATGTGTTGACAATTCATCCATTACAAATTAGAAATGAGGATCTGACAGGTTACTTCTGGACTTTCAACAGATTAAGTGAATTTAAACCGAGAGTCCAACAGTCTCTTTGCTGGTCGAATGCACGATATGAGTGTTTTGTTTCGAAGAAGTAATAAAAAGAACTAACCCGACATAGATGAATGAAGTGAACATTTTTTGCAATACTATTTTACTAAAGTTATTTGTTAATGTTTAATGACACAATAGATTCACAATAGATCCATATATTTTTCTTCATTGATATCACAATCAAGAATATCTATTTCTATTTAAAAAAAGGGAAGGAAAAAAATAATGTAGTGTAATTAAAAGTTTTATTTTGTAAAATCTATTTCTTTTTTTTCCAGACTTAACAGAAGTTAATTCACAGAAGTAAAGTGTTGAAGGCTTCTCTTTTAAAAACAACAACAACAGAAATGCTTTGAAGGAGATTTAAGACTAGAAATATTTAGATTAGAAAAAAATTACCAGAGATAAACAATGAGATATATGTCCATCTGGTAAAAACATATCTAGTTCAACAAACGTGTGTGCAAAACAACCTGCAATGTGATTCGCTTTGAATATTTAAATTTTGTCATTAATAACAGTTACTTTATAGGTTTATATAACAATCGAAGTTGAACAATTTCTAGGGATCTTGTTACCGACCAAATGCACTGCATTATTAAAATAAATGCAAAGAACGAGGGCGCTTTTAATAGGCATTCGGTAGGAATCTGGGTTTACTTGAGAAATGAAAAAATAATAATTTTATTGACATATCACATGAAATGTTATCTTTTTTTATTTATCTGGTTCCTGTGAAAAGGGATATAGTGAGTTTAGTTTTGCTGAAAAATAACTTAAAAACTGGCGAGATCAGACCTTTTTGCAAAGAATGGGACATTTTTAAACGTGTGCACGTTCTAATTTCTTCTTTCTCTTTGTTTTCTCGCAATGATCCTTAAACCTATTTGTGTGCATTTTCATTCAAAGAAACGATGGTATATTTGTAAAACGTGGTAAATAGACACAGAGACAATACAAAATGGGACATTTTTAAACGCTTGCACGTTCTAAATTTTTTCTATCTTCTGGTTTTTGTCTCCATGATTCTTAAACCAATCGACTGTTTTGTCAGTTTCATTTTATGTACTGATTTATGAAAATTTTGAAGTAGATAAATTTTAGTTCAGTTAAGCGAGAGCGAAGTTAATTTAACTCTTCTATTCTTCTTAAAATGTGATGTATATGTACTCTTATCATAAGGCTTTTTTCTTGTAAGGGTTCATTTTTTGTGGAGCATTACTATGATTTTGTACTTCTTAAAAAGTGTATTCTGATTCTATCAAAAAGGTTTGTATTAAAAGACAAACCTTGTGAAATTGTAATGATACTGTATTTAAAGAAAATGTGTGTTTTTGAGAACCTTCATTAAAGAATAAATGAATGAGTGTACTCAGCTGCGATCTAAACACTCTTTTTTGCTCTTCTCAGACATTTAAATTTGCTGGTTTTGTCACATGCGTCTTATTATAATTTTGTTTTAAGGGTTTAAAGCAATGGATCCAAGTATCTTTATCTGTTTTAAGTTCAGACAAATGATAATGACTATAAGTTTTGATTTTTTTTTTGATTAATTGTTTAGATATTCTTACACGCTGTTGTTTTCACTTGTTTCTCTAAACATAAGGTGACCATTGAGTACTAAGCATTTTTTACTATCAGTTGTTTATTTAAAATAGTGAACACTACACCCGAAATGATGCCAATCAAATTGTCTATTTGTCTGAAAGTCAATTAAACATCGTTAGAGAAATATTTGTTAAATTTTTGCAAACAGTGCATTGGCTGTTGTAAGTCCTGGTTGCCTTGATGCCCATTTTATCATTTTTGTTCTTTGAAATCCACCTGCTCATGTGTCTAATAAACATACATTGGTTGCTGTAAATTTCAATGGATATTTCTTTGGGATTATTAATAAGTTTTACAAAAGCTTAATGAAGTGTAACAGTGTATATTATTATCTAGTTTATTGATTCTTTACGTTCAATTTTAGCTCACCTGAGCCGAAGGCTCAATTCAGCTTTTCTGATCAAAATTTGTCCGTTGTCTGCCGTTGTCGTTGTTGTTGTCGTCGTTGTCGTAAAGTTTTCACATATCCATCTTCTTCTCAAGAACCACTGAGCCAATTTCAACCAAACTTGCACCAAAGTAACCTTGGTCAAAGGGCCACGCTCTTCAAAGGGGAGATAATTATGAATTAGGGAAAATTTAATGGAATTTTTAAAGATCTTTTTTTCAAGAACCACTGGGCCAGGAAACATGAAACTCATGTTTAATCATCTTCAGGTAGTGTACATTCAGGTTTATTCAAATCATGACCCCCGGGGGTAAGGCGGGGCCACAATGGCGGATGAAACTTTTACATAGGAATATATATAGACGTCTTTTTGAATCTTATTCTCAAATACTCCAAAGCCATGATAAGTGATATTTATATGGAATCAACCTCCTTAGTGTAGATTTTAGTTTGTTTAAATCATAACCAACAAACACCCCCCACCAGTTAAAGGGTTGGGCATCAAAGGTCCATCAAAGGTTTACAAAGAAAAATAAAGGAAAATAAAATCAAGGAAAAATCCGAAGAACAGAAAAGCTATGTTAAGTCATATTGACATTTAAGCATCCTAAATTCGATTTAAATTCGATCAAATCATTGTCTTCTGGGAATGGAGGGTAGGACACCCTCCCTCCTCTGTAAACTTTTCAGTTCTTACCTGATCTGTGCTTTTTCCTAGACGATGTGCTCAGGTGAGCAATGTGGTCCCTATTTGTATGATATTTATATCAATAAATGAACAAAAAATAACAAAAAAGATGAACAGAAATAATTGAATGTATGGAGGCTCCTAGGATGATAATTTAATTTTGTAATTTGAAATATAAGAATAAAAAGTTGTTTTATTAAAAATTTTCAATGTTTAAACACAAGTCATGCTTTTTTACTCCCACACGTTCGTGTACTCATCTTATCCAGCTTGCGGGTGAAATGGCCTTAATTTACATAGAAATACTATAAAAAGAAGGTTTTCTCTTAAAATAACGTTAATGTTGATTAAGATTTGGCTTCAGACAAGATTCATCATTAAATGTTTATTGGGTTATTTTCTGCATTTAATTGTGATGTTTTCTTTTTTGCTCGTTGTTTGACGTGTTATGAAAATACGAAGAAATTAAACATTGTGTTCGTGTATACTTTCTAAATTACTTTGAAAATAGATCTATTGGTATTTGAACCATGAAAGCAGATCTTAGTAAATAAATTGTTCTGAACTCAAGATTGCAAACGTATATACTTTGTTTTGAAGTGAATGGGTCTGTGCCATACCCTTTGTTGATCGTTTTACTTTAATAAGGATAATATATTTGTTCTCAGAACAGAGGGGCATGACAGCAAAGCCAAAGAAACTTAGAATTTTTTTTATGCATTTCTTTCCTTGCTTTTTAAGTTTTGATCAATATTAATTGTTTGTTTCGTTTTTTTTCCTTTATTTTTTTTTTCAAATAGATAGCAGAGACCAAAGGAAATTCATTTGAGTGCTATCAGATTTTATTTAATTTCCTTAAATACATTATACACGTAACCCTTTAATCAATGATCAAAATATAAAATTCTCTTTTAAGGAGAACAAATGTGGTTATTCTTAATCTTGAGAAATTTGGAATGGTATAAGTGCTCAAACTAAACTATACTTCAGGGTACTACATTGTACAACTAAATTCTGGGATCCCTTCCCGGAAATTCGTGTTTTTTACCTCCCGCTTGAAAATCAGGAGGGTTATAGTAATCGATATGTGCACCCGTCTGTCTGTCTGCTACACTTTAAGGGTACCCGTCTGTTATCCGCATATCTTAGTATACCACTGAATGAAATTCAATGAAACTTTCACAGAAATTTTAATAACATATTTCCATTGTGCACCTTTAATTTTACTTTTTGATCCGACACATGTTTTGGGTTTCTAACGGCAAAACATAAAAGAGAGGTACCCCCAAAGCGTAACAGACGGACGGCCACCCCGATCACTATATACCCTCCCACTTTTCAACCGAGGGTAAAAATCTAAAATCAAAGAAAATTGAAAGAGGCATATCATATAACCCCAAAATAGGGAGTAATTAATATGCTCATAAAAAAGATCATGCCAAGAAATCTCGTCCGATTTCGACAGCGATGGAGTCAATAAAAGTGTAATTAATGCAAATCACCCATATTCCCAAAACGCCAGCAAAACAATTTACGGCAGCAGACTTCTGGGGGTGGATCCTAGGTTTTAAGCTTTCTTAGTTAAAGAAAAAATATACCCTAAAAAGTTACTGTCAAGTATCTTTATTTACAAAATACGCTTATTTTAAAAAAAAAAAATATTGGACTGAAGAAAAAAAAGAAAAAAAACAATCAAAAGAAAATATTCACTTTAAAATGAAAACATACACATAGCCAATCGGGTTACGTCTACCCATTCAGTACGCGTCTCCATCTTTTTCAACCAGGAAATGATGTAATCTTCCGGAAATTTGGTACTCTTTTATCTATATTTCGACGCGGTACTTCAACAACTACCTGATGTCGATTTATTTGTACTGAGAAAATATATTTTGAAATTGAATTATGTAAAAAAAAAATTGAAAGGCAGCTTATTCTATTGAAGAATTACTTTACTATAATTAATTTCACCCCCCCCCCACCCGAAAAAGACAATGGGGGGAGGGGGGCAAAGGCTTCTAAATAACTAATGTTCTACCTATAATTCTAACCCAGTAAATTTTACGATCCCTCCCTCAAAACTGCAGTCATTAATTGCTTCCGCACGTCTTCCAGGGGAAGAATCACAGATTAATGTTAATTCGGCTTTTATTGAGTTTGCTATACGGAGAGAATGCTAAGGTTTTCTTGGCATGTCCAGCACTTATAGTGCGGACATTTGTTGGAATGAAAGGGGGAATTCTATTGATAGCTTTTTCATTGCCAAAAAAATTGCCAACTTCATAAACTATACGTTCAATTTTTTAAGTACTCACCTCATTTCATCTGGATGAATAAAGTTTCGTAGATTAGCGGGTTTGGTACAATCGTTTGTCAAAAAATTATATATTTCTGAAAATTATTAAACTATTTCAAACTATCAACGATGTATGGTGAATTGAAAGATAGTTCAAAATGGTTTACAGGAATATTTGCAGGATTAAGTAAATAGTTCTCGGTTAAGAGAATTTACAGTTTTCATTTTACGTAACGTTAAAATCAGTAACGTCGTAATGACGTCGTTACGTCAAAAGTTGTAATTATTGAAGAAAATGCACCATTTTCCCAAACCTCTGGCGGAAAAACGGTATGAGATAATTCCAAAAAATAAAATAATTTTGAAAGGACACATTGTGGGCATGTTTGTAAAAAACTTCAATCAAATTTAGAGACAGGGCCGCCTCGTTATACATACCGTACCTAGTTCTACACTTTCTGTCAAAGATTCTACATGATTTCCACTTTTCTTCGCTCATTGGTTATTAGAAGGATTTAACTGATGCCATTGATTGTTTTGCTTTGTAATTATTGAAACCGACTAGGACTGAAACATCTGGGGACAACAGAACAAATTAAGCTCACTTGAGTCTTTGGCTCAGGTAACTAAAAGAGAGAATGCGAAAATAAGCAAAAGTCACGACATTGGATATACATTATAGGTCTTATTTATATCTCTTTTATTTGTTGTCTGCTTAACTGTGTAGACGCCTTGAATGAATCAAATAGTAAGTCATTGTAAGTAATAGATTTTGATATAACCAAATCGACAATGTACTTTTATATGTACCTATTCCGCTTTCATTCTGTACCAGTTTCTACAAAAATCAAAATTTTCCTATATTTACTTTATAAAACAAATCTTAAAAGTGAACTAAAATTGCTTCATGGATGCCCTCGTCCAATAGAGAGAGAGAGAGAGAGAGAGAGAGAGCAATTGAGCATTCCTATATGAATTGCATTACATTTTTTGTTCGAAATCCAAATCATTTTCCTTATTTCCTTACAAACATAAAGTTTCCTTTTTGAACACTATTTAAAGATTGCCACTCAAAATCCAAAGCATTTTGTACAACGAACTTAGCTATTTAAGTGTAGGTTGATCTTTTTCTCATGGGGAATCTACTGGCATTTCAAGTTTTATAAAGAGATAATGTATCTTGCATTCATATTCTTGATCACCGTCAGCTTAAGAGAAGTTGTGGAGACATGTAAAAGGTAAGACCAAATCTGTATATTTTCAAGAAAAGTTGACAGCATTTTTCCTTTTATGCAGCGTCATGATCAAGAGTTTATGATTATAATTTCGAATTGTGATCTAAGATTTACTTTATGTTATTATTCTATTATTCTAAGTCAGAAATATAAGAGAAACGCTTTCTTAATCTATTATGCAAAGTGTCTTTTTCTCTATATTTCCTTTCAATGACCACAGTGACTCTTATTCTTAAGTTGTTTTTTGTATTTTACAGGCTGGAATAAATTATATAAAACGTTGCTTTGAAATGTCAACTGTTAAATGCCTGGGTATATTTCATTTTTTTTAAATTCTGTAGCGCATCGTTTGGTGATTGCTGCACGGGATATATACATAATTCTGACAGGGGTAAATGCGAAGGTAATTTTTATGCACAGATCATATCAGGTATAGTTTTATAAGGATTGTCATTAATATTTTAAATTCCAACAATCATTACTATTGAAATGTCTTCATTGTTTATAATTGTCTTGTTCCTTCCCACTAAAGAATCATGAAAAGAAAGGGAAAAAAGAACACTTATCAAAAACTGTCGAAATACATGGCCAGTGGGAAAATGAAAACGTTTTGCAGAAAAGTTTTCTGGGAAAGTGCATCATATATTTAATCTCCGTCTAGTCCGTGGATTAAGTTTAATACAAACTTGGAATAGTCGGATATGCCGGCTTAATTTGCGCTAATTAAAGTTTAAAAATCATGCCCACTTTCCTTGTAGGATAGAAAGGGTAGGTTTGATAACTCAAGGAACTTTATATCTAGTTGCAAATTTTCTTTTATTCCCCCAATATACCGGTATGAAAACTGAAAATTTATCTCTTTCTTCAATGAGAACAGAATGCTCCATTGGACTTACTGGACCAAATTGTTCTTTACAATGTCGTTATCATAGTTATGGCCACCTTTGTCAACAACAATGTGATTGCACTGAGATATACTGTAGCAAAATTGTCGGCTGTGTCAGAATTGAAAAAGGAGGTACATTATATTTTTCTGTATAAATTCATCATTTTTCTAGAGAATAGATGCGTAGAAATATTTGTAATCCGGGTGTTATATAATTCTTTATCTTCACTATTACGATGATGACTTTCAGGCAGTTTTAACACATAAAATTGTTTGAAATGGTGTCCATAATCCGCAAAAATTGTCTTACCGGGCTAGCCAATTTTGCTTAATCATTTGCTTCTAGATTAGATAATCTTTTCAGCATGTTTATTTGCTCTTCCTACTCTTTCTTTTATATCTTTTATCAATTTCATGCAGATCCCTCTTAACCAGTTTTAATTGCCTTCGTGGTCATCCTCTCTTTGATTCTTTCAATTATTTCTGTCAAAAAAATATTGGCAGAAGGATTCGTTACAAAATGGAAAAGGGTTACACGGATGGACAGAAATCCAGAAGTTCAAAGAAAAAGCGAAACACATTTTTATATTGAGTTGCTGGAAAATAAAAACGACGGAAGTACATTTACTAATACGAATGGAAATACATCAGAAAATGTGGATTATGTTGAACCCATTAAATGAACGTGAACTCAGCAAATTTGTCAAATGCGTACGAGAGGATGTACACTTACTTGTAAGATTTGCATTATCATAACAGTATTACTGATTTTAATTTGCAGTATATGATTATCGATATTTAATATTTCCTTTCAAAGAAAAGGGTAAAAAAAATTCAATTTACACTTCTTTTGTATGTGAAAAATGTTATGAATGTTTTAAGGGTACTTACCACAAACAAAAAATGGATGCACGGGTTGATATATATTTTTTGACTGATTTTGATTTGAAATGACATAAATAATAAATCCCTGAAATATAAAGAAATAGTTGGTTTTCTTTGGTGCTTAGATATGAGATTT